GCTGGCTCCTTGTTTGCTTTGGCCTATTTCCAACCCGCACCTCAGAGATCTGAAACCTCTCACAGTTGAACAAATGTTTGACTCTTTTCTCCAAGATACTAAGTGACTTTGGCTGGGAACTGAGGTAACTGGGGTTGGGACCACACTTGAGGGTCTCCAGTTTGGTCCTGCCAGGGGAATGGCCCACCCCATAAATGCCTATTGGGAAGATAGACACCTTGCTGCCCACCTTGTTAACAGCATTCCAGAGAGGGCAGGCTGGTGGATGAGTTTATCCCCCAGGGAAAATAACCCCTTACTCTTAGCTCATGTTGCTTTAAGATCATTCCTGCACCTAAGCCTTTAATGACAGTCAGGTCCCAGCACCCTGAAGACATAAGCCAACCCTCTTAGAGCTAAAGCAGGCTATTTGGGTGCCAGACAGCCAGAGGACCCCAAGAGTGTAGCCAGTGCCCCTGGGGCCAGCCACCCACCTTGTAGCACCTGGAAGCCCACTATGCCGTCCAAGTTGAAGTCTGGCAGCCGCTCCTCCAGAAAGACGGTGGCCCGCTCCAGAGCAGAGAGGATCAGGCCTGCAGTGGTGGCCTTGCCCTCTGGGGTGTCTGGCTGTGGCAGTGAGGAGACCTGAAGCCACAATGGGGTCAGTAACAAGAGCAGTAGCAGTCGCCCCAGGCCGCACATGGTTCACGTTGGCTCCGGGCTGGTTGAGCGTTTCTGCACCAGGTGCCCTCATCCACCTCTGCCTCCGCCTCCTCCTGCAGACAGCAGACAAGGGGCGGGGTGATCTGACCCAGCAGCCTGGGGTGGCCCTGGGCAGACCATGGGAGCAGGGCCACGTGGCGGTCTGCAGGCGGTTGTCTTAGGTTCTGGTAACACGGTGTTCCCCACTCTGGGGCCGCCTTCCTGTTCACTGGTGTTGAGGCCATTGTGTGTCAGTCCATCTCCTCTGTGAGTTGAGATTAAGCCTGTCATCAATGCAACCCAACTCATTGTTGTCCACTCATAGTGATCCTGCTGGACAGTGTAGAACTAGCCCAGAGGGTTTCCAAGAAAGCAGACGATCACATCTTTCTCCCCAGGAGTAGCTGGTGAATTTGAATCACCCACCTTTCGACTAGCAGCCCAGTACCACTAGGAGCCCCTTGCACCACTCGGAACCTCATTAAGATCCTTGAGGTTGCTGCCGGCAGTGCTTGTCCTGTGCTGTGGACTCCGACTCCCGGAGACTTCATGTGTTGCCAAAGCGGTGGCACTGAGCCCTGTTCTTCTGAGGTGGGGGGGGGCTGCAGTGTATGTGTGGGTTCTGGGGATCCTCCATGGTGAAGGGAGTGAGGCAGTGTCCCCAACTGCTCTGGGTTCCTCAGCATGGAGATGAGGCCCCCACCAGTTCAACAATAGGTTGCATAGCAATCCCTACCCCTCATGTGATGCTGTTGAGTGGTTCCGACTCGGAGCGACACTCTATAAGGTTTCTGAGGAGTGGCTGGTGAATTTGAATTACTGACCCTGAAGTCCAAACCAACTTTGTGGTCCAGTGCATTATCCCACAGCACCACACCAGGATGTTATAGAACTCTGAGGGTCTAAGAGCCACAGGCTGAGGACCCAGACTGCAGGGCTCCGACGTACTCAATCCAAAGCCAGCCTCCTCTGCTATAGGGCAGAGAGTCGCTTTGCAGGGCTCCACAACACAGTGTGTTATTGTGTGTCCCTGTGACAGCCTTCTTGAAGGGGTTGCTGCTGCGGCTGATGTGTGCTGTCATCGAGTTGGTTCTGAGCCTGTATAGGATTTCTGAGGCGGTAAATCTTCATCGGAGCAGTAAGCCTCAGATTTCTCCTGCCATGTCTCGCTGTTGTAATGAAGTGCCACCCAGTCGGTTCCAACTCATAGGGACCCTGTATACGGTTTCCAAGGAGCAGCTGGTGGGTTTGACCTGCCGACCTTGTGGTTCTCAGTCTAATGTTGATCTTACAGCACCATACCAGGAGGTGGGGCTAAAGCCCAGACAGAGACCCACTACGTCCTTGCTCTTACTGATTCTCTTTATTCTGCTGCTTAACTTGGGTCGGAACCAACTTGACGGCACTTAACAACAACAACAACTTAACTTGGGGAGCCATGATGTTATCCAGTAGAATTTGGGACCCTAGGATTTCCTCAGCTGTTGCTCACTCCCCTTTTAAATGTAGCATTACTTGATTTCTTCTTGATCTTGGACAATGTTCCCGGTTTTATAGACATAAGAACATCAGGACGTATTAAAAGCACACAGACTCCGCTAGGTGAGGCAGGCATGATGTCTAGGGCCAATCTGCTTTGTTGTTGTTGTTAAGTGCCATTGAGTCGATTCTGACCCATAGCAACCCTGTATAGGGTTTCCAAGGAGCAGCTAGTGAGCTTGAACCACTGACCTTGCAGTTCAAATGGCATTGCAGTCTGGCTTTGGAGACCAATTAATGTCATGGAATCTGCTTCCTTATCATGTGGGAATTTAGAAACACTTTCCCAAAGTTCTATGCACTTTAGAAACACAGGATTACAACAATTTGGGAAATACAACAGCCATGCTGCCTTCACTATCGTATTTCCCGAGTAGCACCATTATGCCACCACCCTCTATTGTGATTTGGGCTGGAGAACCCCCCAGAGAAGCTACAAAATTATGCTGAATTGTCTCATCAACAATGTCCACAATCAGGAGGAAATAGCTAAGACCTGCTGTTCTCCCATTTCCCATGATTAGAGAAAAGTAAGAAGAGGAGGAAATTGTAATGGAGCCAAACTGAGACCTGGATGGATTCTTTTCAGTCAATAAGGAAGGAGCTGGTTAAAAGTCTATCTAATTAGTTACAAGGAGATGAATTTCATTCCAGCGAACAGCCAACCGAACCCAAACCCAGTGCCATCGAACTGATGCCGACTCATAGCTACTCTATGTGACAGACTTAGAACGGCTCCTTTGGGTTTCCAAGGTGTTAATCTTTATGGGAGCTGGCAACCTCATCTTTCCCCCACAAAGTGACTGGTGAGTTTGAACTGCCAACCTTGAGGTTAGTAGCCCAACACTTAACTCATACGTCACCGGGGTTACTTATAAAACTTGGATACTTGGCTTGCTATGACACTTATGGTGTTTAGCTGGTGGCTGTTTCTCCTGACACTCAAGGGGTCCCTGGCAGCAGATGGATTAGAGGTGGGGGACAGGCAAACATAATCGCATAAGGGTGGTACCCAGTGGACCTTTGAGGGGTGCAGTACTAAGGGCCAGGCCTGAGGCCACGAGAAGTACTCCTCTTGACATAATTTGCTTAATCTGGACTTTATTGTCCATTTTATTCGTTCCACTTTACCCGAACTCTGGGGCCGATACATCGAGTGCAGTTTCCCATTTATGCCCAGTGCCCTGCCGTCTCCTGCATGGCCTCCACCACGAAGGCCGGCCCGTTGTCAGATCCAATGGCTAAAGGGAGTCCATACCTCAGAGGAATTTCCTGTAGTAATGTCCAAGTGACTTCCTGGGCATGCTCCGAGCGGATCGGGAAGGCTTCCACCCATCGTGAGTATGTGCACACGAGGACCAGGAGGTGTCGGTACCCTCCATCCTAGGAAATTCAGTGACATCCACCACAGTGGGCAGCACCCACTGCTTGGACCCCTGGAGGCAAGGTTGGCCCCAGTTGAGAGTTATACTTGCAACATGTTATATATACAACGGTAGCTGATTTCTTTTGCCAGTGTGGCCAGTGGGGTATGTAGAAATATCTCACCAGCAATTTTTCTGTGGCCTCCCTAAGTGTGTAGCTGAATGGACGTTGGTGACCAATGAGGTTGCCAATAACTCAGATATTATAATTCTTTTGTCTGGTAATTGCTTCCAGCCATCTTGTAGCTCAGCTGCTTTTATCTTGAGTAAGCCACCTTTGTTCTCCTGCCGAACAAACGGGAGTTGTTTCTGGAACCCACGGGAGGCTCACTGGTGGCTCCCATGATGTTTACCTGTTTGTGAGTTTGGGGTGCCACAGGGCAGGCGACTACAGAATGTTCCACTCTGGTATTGACTAAGAAGTCCACGGACTTGTCCCCCCCTTGGATTCGGACCATGGGCTCCTGGGGGCCAGGCGAGCCTGGTGAGCCTCAGTCTTCACACTTCTCTAGTTCTGCCATGCCAAGGAGTCCTTGGGCACTTGCTCCCTGATCCTCGGATTACGTGGCTTCTCCTTCTGCCTTCAGGAGGGGCACTCGTTTATCCGATGTCCCTTCTTTCAGTATACACACTGGTCTCTTTCCAAGGGGGGTGGGGAACACGGGGGGTTCTGCCTTCTCTTCCCTTCAATTTTCCAGCGGGGCTGGGCTGATTTTAGGTGATTCTCTTCCCTTCAATTTTCCAGCGGGGCTGGGCTGATTTTAGGTGATTCTCTCCCTTTCCATTTTCCAGCGGGGCTGGGCTGATTTTAGGTGAGTGCTGCCGCTGTAAGGGCAGTTTTGTTTTGCATCCTTGGGTCCATTTCCCACTTGGCTTCCTGATGTTGGTTTTGAACATTCGGGTGGTGATTTCAATTAGTTGGGTGGAGTCCCTCCCAGCTTTTGAAGTTTCTGAAGTTTATCCCTGGAGCTTTGGTTTACAAAGGTAGCATCCAACATCCTCTGACTGCCTTGGGCTTCACACAATCTCTCATAGAAGGCACTGGGGCTTGCCATAGACCCGTGGAGGACTTGTGTTACTTTGTTGATGTTGGTGGCATTTTGTCCCCCTCTTCTCAGCCCTGCAGTAAGGCCTCCCTGTACGTTTCTAGATTTCGCAGTCCCTCCCACTCATTTGGGTCCCAATTTGGATCCTCACTTGAGAGTTGCCAGTGGGCACAGGCCTGGCTATTCGTGACTCCTGGTGGGCACTGTCCTCCAGCCATTTGGTGGCTGCTGGCAGTACCCACCTCTGTTCTTCGGTATTGAAGAGAGTAAGGAGGAGCTGGAGACAATCAGCCCAGGTCGGGTTGTGGGTCTGAAAAATGGATGTGTGGGGCTTCTCAGTGTGCGCTGGGCTGTGATGCTTCCAGTTTAGGGGTTCTGGGTGGTGAATGGCTGATATACAAGAGTTCATTGGCCTCCTTGCGCTTGGCCATCTGAATCCACGTATGTGGGTGTTCAGACCGCTCCAAGGGGCAGCTGCAGAGCACTTTGCAGCAAAGGAGCATAAGGGCTGAGTTGGGGTGGCTCGTGCCCCGGACTGGGAAGCGTCTGGCGAGGAGGCTTGGTTGTAGAATCTGGGGATTGTTGGATGGGGGTCCTGAGTCTTACAGAACTGGCTGGTGGTGGAAGAGACGGATACAGGGGGCATGCGGAGGTGGCGCTAATTCCTCTGGGCCCCCTTGTAGTATCAGAGGGCTCCCAGGTCTGGGTCTGGTGGAAGGTTTTGTTCCTTTGTTGTTCACTTGAGCCTTGGCCTCGTATGGGATTGGTTACCAGTTGAAGCCACCTATCGATGTATGGGAATTGATCTGGGTATCCCGGCTCACCGGTAACAACTGAACACACCTGGCGGGTGGTGACACTAAGGTCCCTTCCGAGGGCTGGTCAATCTCACAGAAAGATCTGAGTTTTCCCTGTTGCATTTTAAGTCCATGATCCTAAGTGTACCCCTTCTTAAAGTTTTTCAGCAGGACCTGGAGTGGAGTTTCCTTCCCCTGGGCACCACCCAGGTTTCTACAACACCACTTGCTTCGTTCTGTTTCCCTTGCAGGGATTTTTCAGACTCATCTTGGCTTTGGTGAGTCATTATGAGCCCCTGAACCTGGAGCCCCACTTGCACTGGCTTTATGAGAATCACCCCAACCTGTTAGCAGAACTACGCACTTGCACCCAGTGCCACACACACACACACACAGTCACTGGTCACTCCTACCACGTGGTGTCCCTAATAAGGTACTCAGCCGAACCTTGGGGGAGGTGATCAGGCCCTTCTGTCCATAGACAGACTACCTACCAGAAGCCTTTTGGGCCCACAACCTTACCTCCGTTCAGACGAACATCTGGAAGACCGTGCCTTCCTCTGCACTGGTCCCTCAGGGAGTCAAAACCATGGTTGCCTCCTGCCCCAGTGAGGGCAATCCGCACAAGTAGCTGAGCGCCTAGCAGATGGTCGTCTCCGAGACAGGGGCTCCCAATAGCTCCCCACTTCCACTTTGGGAGAGTGAGGTGCCAGTGCTCTTTCAGCAGGTCCCCCAGGTGGCTCAGCGGGAAGAGAAGTTTCCTGGCCAATACACTAGAGATGTTGCTGAGCTAAGCTGCCTAAGGATTTGTCAGACACCACAGATTCTTATCAAAAGGAAGGGTATTTGTTGTGCTTGCACCTGGATTCGGGGCTACAAGGGTTTTATAGGGTTGCTAGCAGATGGGGTGGTGGGGTGGTGGATATCAAGCACACTAGGCAGCTGAGGATATATCATGTTTGGTAAGGTGGAGGGTAAGAGAAAAAGAGGAAGACCCCCAACGAGATGGATTGGCCAAGTGGCAGCATCGATGGACTCAAGCATGGCAACAATAGTGAGGTTGGCCCAGGATCGGACAGTGTTTCCTTCTGCTGTGCATAGGGTCGCTATGAGTCGGTACCGACTCGATGGCACCCAACAACAACAACAACAGGCAGCTGGGGGCTGGGTGACAAGCTTCCTTGCTCACAGAAGCAGAAAGCACGGGTTAGTTGTTGGGCCCCTAGGGGGACTTCCTGGATGGGGCTTTCAGATGGGGGCGTTTCCATTCTGTAGGTCTCTTTTTCTTATAATGGGCCTGGGTTTCTACCTCAGCAAGGTCGGTTTGAACCGCAAGATCGGCAGTTCAAACTCACTAGCCGCTCCTTGGAAACCGTATACATGCTCCACAACACTTAACAACAATCTAGTATGAATGAACTCCATAAATTGTAGCCTGCCTGGAAGGATTGGGCAGGCAGCGAGCAAAGAGTATGCATGAGTGAAAGATGGAGACAAAGAAAAAAAACAACAAACCAACAAAACAGACAAGAGAAGAGGGAGAGATATGAATTGGGTCCTTGGGCTCTCCCCAGTCGTTCCACGGGTCCCTTGGTTTTACCCGACCGCCCTTCACTTGGCTCTACTGCTGCTCGTAGCGTGCCCGGCAGAAGCGGGATCACGTGACTCCCGGTGGCTGGCAAGATGGCGGCGCCCTGCGCGGCTCTGCTGTCTTTGCTGCTATCTCTGCTGCTGTCTTTCCTGCTGCTCCTGAGCGTGTGGAAGCGCTGGCGGCGATGGCGGGCCGCGTCCCGGCACGTGGCCGTCGTGGTGCTGGGCGACTTGGGCCGTAGCCCCCGCATGCAGTACCACGCGCTATCACTGGCCAAGTGCGGCTTCTCAGTAACCTTCTTGGGGTTCTACAGTGAGTGCCCTGGGGCGCGGGTCCGGGAGGGAAGCTGAGCTCTCCGCCTTTTGACTCCAGGCTTTGACCACCCCAGGGATCCGTGGCCCATTTCCTCTGCTCCCGTGGGCAGCCCTCCGAGACTGGATGTTCCTGGTTTGTGCTTGGCCTCTGCTTAGTTAATTTCCAGGAAGAGCTTGCCGTATGCCAGGACCGTGGCACGTTAAGTGAATTCACTGTATGACCGTGTTTAATTCTCCTAGTAAGTGGAAAGACTGTAACCCAGCGCTTGTAACTCTGGGTTACAAGAAATGATTTACTAGAAGCAAGTGCTCCTAGCCCTGTTTCAGGCAGTGCCTCAGTGCCTGAGTCACCCCTCAATCCAGAGCTCTGTCTGCCGGAGATACTTCGCTTGTGCTGCCTTGTCCGGCGTTAGCATCCTTTCACCCTCGTCCCTCTTGTGTCTACTCTTCCATTTTTCTCCATATTGACATATTTGGAGGGTAGCCCAGCTCTGTCTTAGGGAAAAGCACAACAAGTGGGTGCTTTGGATCCGTGTTGATTGCTATTGTTAGGTGCTGTGCAGTTGATTTGAACTCAGCAACCCCATGGGACCGTTCCATATGGTGCTGTGGGATAAAGCACTGGACTGCCAGGTTGGTTTGAACCACAAAGTTGTGGTTCAAACTCGCCAGTCACTCCTTGGAAACCCTATTGTTGTTGCTAAGTGCCTTTAATAGGGTTTCCCAGGAGCAGCTGGTGAGCTTGAACCACCAACCTGGCAGTTCAAACAGCTTTGCAGTCTGGTGCAGTAACCCACAGCGCCAGGTGGGAACCCACTCCTCAGCACTTAACAACAATAATGATTTACGGAAGTGGATTGCCAGGTCTGTTTCCTGCAACTATCAACCTTTCTGTTAGCAACCCAATGCTTTCCTGTTGAACCACGAGGACTCCGTGGTCCCTGTTTAGAGTCTGCTATCCCTGGGTAGCTTCATAATATAAGCCCTGGACTGCGAACCACAAAGTTGGCAGTTTGACCCTAGTAGCTGCTCCTGATAAAGTTTACAGCCTCGGAAACCCTATATAGGGTCACTATGAGTCAGAACTGACTTGATGATGCTTAACAACATTTTCCTTGGGTGAGGTGGTGGATTGGGACTTCTTAGGGGTCTCAGTGTGGTGGGATCATTCCTTCATCAGGGGAATTCAGATTCACTTAGTTGAATGCCAACTATGATGACCAACTAGACATTGTTATGTCAGGTCAAGGTGGATGCAATTTGAGCTCTTTGCCTGTGGGTAGTCTAGTGGGATCTGGACAAAAACTGGTCTCATGATCTATTGAGGCTAGTGTGGAACAGAGGTATATTTTGAAACGTCTTCTTTTCTAGAACACTGCCTCTCTGTACTCTTCAGCATGAGGTGAGAGAACACCTGGCTTGAAATGATACCACCCCATCCTGGGACTGACAGACACATTGTCATTTCAGATTCCAAACCCCGTGATGAGCTCTTGCACAATGACAGACTTGAAATTGTAGGGTTGACAGAAGTGAATATGCTTGCAGGTAAGACTCATGCCAGTCCAAATTTGCCTCCTATGAATCTTCCCAGGGGTGGGGGCCACAGATTGTGACAGCTGTTTTCTGACTTGCAGCTGGGCCCCTAGTTCTTCAGTATGGAGTCAAAGTGGTTGTTCAGGCATTGCAGCTGTTCTGGGCTTTTGTGAAGATTGAGCCGGCATGCCACATCTTCCTCCAGGTACACTCCGCTTCCTCCTCCCTTAACCATTGGTAACAGTGCCCTTTTGACTTTCCAGGCTTTAAAAAATGTACAGATCGATAAATGACTTATGCACACGAGTAAGAGAGTGGGGCATGTGTTCTTTCTATTTATGGTTCTGTTACAGTATACTATTTTTAAAAAGAAGACCCCCAACAAGATGAACTACAAAGTGGGCTCAGACGTGGCAATGATTGTAAGGATGGTGCAGGATTGGGTGGGGTTTTGTTTTGTTTTGTTGTACTTGGGTCACTGTGAGTTAGAGCTGATTCGACAATGCCTAGCAGTAGCAACGGTACTGTTTTGGGAGGGGCAGCGGTGGCTCAGTGGTAGAATCCTCACCTTCCATGCAGAAGACTCAAGTTCGATTCCCAGCCAGTGTATCTCATGGGCAGCCGCCACCTGTGGAAGTGTGTGTGCTGACTGGATGCTGAACAGGTTTCAGTGGGTACGTCAGACTAAGACCAACTAGGAAGAAAGACCTGGTGATGCACTTCCAAGAATCTGCCACTGAGAACCCTGTGGATCACAGCCATCTAAGCCACAGATTCCAGAGCTGACCCAGGGCCACTGAGAACCCTGCGGATCATAGCCATCTGAGCCACAGGTTACAGAGCTGACCCAGGGCCAGGCAGTGCCTTGTTCTGTTGTACCTGGGATTGCTGTGAGTCGCGGGCTGATGAGACCACAGCTAACAACAACAACGACAACAACAACAACAACAACATAGGACTTTTTGGTCTTGTTACAGAGTATTACTGACACTTACGTTGAGTTTATTATGCACTTGTCTCTGTTCTAAGAACTTTCCATGTATTGAATCATTTATTCTTCATAACAAGCCTAAGGAGTAGCTTCTTGTAAAGGGGGGTGGGGGGAAGCTGCCCCACACCCTCACCTCACCACTGCTAGACTTTTTATAAGTCTCCACGATACAAGAGGTGAAATGGCATTCCCGTGTCCCGTGTCTCTGATTTTTGGTGGTTTTGAACCCTTCTGCTTTGTTAATTCTATGTCTTTTATGGTTTTTTTTTTGCATTTCTCTCAGGGGAGGTGGAGGGGTATCTTTTTCCTGCTTGTTGAGAGCCAGGGCTCTGTAAAGGTAACGGAATCTCTGCCATGGATACTGTAACTGTCGGCACCCTGTTTGCGATTGACTATGGTCTGTGTTTCCTCCTTCCAGAATCCCCCGGGCCTGCCTGGCATCGCTGTCTGCTGGCTTGTGTGTTGCCTCTTTGGGGGCAAGCTTGTTGTTGACTGGCACAACTACGGCTACTCCATCCTGGGTCTGCAGCACGGCCCCAGCCATCCCCTCGTTCTGCTGGCCAAATGGTGAGGGTCTGGGAGGAGGGGGCACTGGGGTGAGCAGTGGGAGGGAGGGCAAAACGGGACTTGGTGGAGTTGGTCCCAGTGAGCCCCATAGAGGGAGGGACAGGCCTGGTGAATTGGGCTGGACACTGGTTCCAAGCAGTGGAAACAGCCCGCCTCAGGCCTAACTCTCTGCTGTTGAGTTGATTTAGACTCAGAGCGACCCCATAGGGTAGTAGAACTGCCCCTTCTTTGTCCCGAGCAGCACCTGGTGGGTTTGAACTGCACACCTTTTGGTTAGTACCCCAATGCTTAACCTACTGCGCCACCAGGTCCCCTTCGTCTCCTAGCACTCCTGTAGCACAAGTACCCCAGGGTGCCTGTCAAGAACAGAAATCCTGTGTCTTGAGATCTGGGAGGCTACAAGTCTAAATCCGGCTCTTGGCCATGTTGGTTCCCTCGATGTTGTCAGCCCGGGGCCTTCCCTGGTCCCCAGCGTTTTGTTCCGTTGGGCATGGGATTCCCGGTTCCCTGTTTCCCAGTTCCTGGGGTCTCAGGTCCCCTGGGTCCTGGTTCCCCTCTGGGTTCCCTGGTTTCTGGTGCCTTGATTCCGTGACCTGTTTCCTCCTCGTGTGTGTGCGTGAACGTGTGTCTGCTCTCTTCATATCCGTCTGAAGTGAGCAGGTCATCACTACTCAAGTGTGGGCTCATCCACTTAACAGAAAACCCTGTTTCCAAACAGGGTCACAGCCACAGGGATGGACTCAGGATTCCCCAGTTTCAGGGGGCACAGTTGGTCCCATGACACCGAGTAAGAACGGGGTGTGTGTGCTCCTGCCTCTGGACTCCCCTCTGGCGATGTGAGGGTCCTGAGTACCCTGTTGGCGTTCACTCCACCCCCTCGTCACACAGTCTCTGCAGACAGCAGCTCAGATTTAAGAATGACGTTCTTACTGTCTGTCTTTTTCTTTGTAATGGTCAGGGACACGGGTTATTTACTTTGATAGTAGCAGTTGGTCCCCCACCCCTAGTCTTTTTATTGTGGTTTGGGTGAAAGGTTACAGAGAAAATTCAGTTTGTCAGTCCACAATTCATGTGTGCTTTGTTTCGTGACTTTGGTTGCTGGTCCCTCAGTGTCAGTGTTCTTACCCGTTCCTCCCGGGGTGCCCTGTTTTCATTTGGCCTCTTTCTTGGTCCTTGCTGCCCTCTGGTTTTGGGTCACTGCTGCCCTCACGCTCTGGTGTGCTTGGTTCTTCTGAGGAGCCTGATTCCTCTCGGGTGTTTTCGTTCACTTTATCGGTGTGTTATGGCTGAAAGGTGCCCCGTGGGAGTGGCTTCAGCTCCAGGTTTGTAGGGGAATCCACCAGGCCAGTAAGTGTGGTCTTATTTATGATTTTGAATTTTGTTCTACAGTTTTGTTTCTCTCTCTTGCTATTACCTTCTATGGTGATCCTGATCAATACTGTTTCCTTTTAAGTAGTCTTTTTATTCGAGCTACAAGGACTCCCGGTGTGGCGCTGTAGGAATAGCACTGGACTGTGAACCACAAGGTCGGCAGTTCAAACCCACCACCTGCTTCTTGGTAACTCTATATAGGGTCGCTATGAGTCAGAACCGACTTGATGGCTTTTCAATATTCAAGCTGTAAAGTGCTTGTGATGTAAGGAAAGACGTGAAGACAGTATGGGTGGAGCCCGGCTGCACAAGCTCTGAAGAGACTGCGTTTGGGATGTTTAGCACTGCAGACCCTACAGACTTGGGGTGTCAGGTCCCATGACTGGACAACCAAGGGCCCTGGGCTAACCGGAGTTCCCTCTTTTCAGGTATGAGAAGTTCTGTGGACGCCTGTCACACCTGAACCTGTGCGTGACCTACGCAATGAAGGAGGATTTGGCGCAGAATTGGAGCATCAAGTATGAGGGGCCAGGGTGGCCGTCAGGCCTGGGGAGGTTTCTGAGTGGGGAGCTAGTGTGATGTGCTGTCTGGCGACTCTGAAACACTGGGGGCTTGGGGACAGTGATTTGGGAACAGCGGAGATCAGTGCTTTTTGACCAGCCAGCTTGGTGGGGAGGCAGCTTTGGTCCATGAGCATCTCTCTGCTGCCTGCTTTTCCGGGTGATTCTGAAGCATCTCATTGTCACTGTGTGAGACTCAGGCTCCCCGGGGCCCCTGCTTTCCTGGAGCCCCTAGGTCCTCTTGATGCATTTCTCTACCAGCTCAAGAGCCTCGGATCTGGTTGCAGGGCCGTGACCGTCCATGACCAGCCAGCGTCCTTTTTCAGAGAGACCCCCCTGGACCTGCAACACCGACTCTTCATGAAGTTGGGCTGTGTCCACCCTGTGTTCAGGGCCCGGTAGGTCACCGTGTCCACGCCCACAGCCTCGGTGCCTTCTCTGAGCTCCCTGCTGGGCTGGCCTCCCCTCATCTTCTCACGGCAGACCTGGGGGCCACCAGTCAGCCACCTGTTTTTCTGTTAATCATCTATTTTATTTGTGTTATTGTTGAGAATATATGTAGCAGTACACATACTGACTGAGCACTTCCTACATGAAGGAGCTCTGGTAGCGTAGTGGTTACGAGTCGGGCTGTTAACCTCTAAGTCAGCAGTTCAAAACTACCAGCTGTTCCCAGGAGAAAGATGAGGCTTTCTGCTCCTGTAAAGATTTACAGCCTCAGAAACCCTGTACAGGGTCGCTATGAGTCGGAACCGACTCCACGGCACATTACCGCCACCACCACCACCATGTGACTCATAGCGGTCTTTGAGCGGTGTGTTCCTGCTCACACTCCTCCCCCGTGACCATAAACCTGCTGTCCTCTGCGGCTGCTCCTATTGGATCTTTCGAGTTGCTGTTGTCAGTTTGATTCCATATGGATTGGTCATCTGATGTGCAGATAAGGGCCATGGTCTTGGGGGCTCCATCAACCTCTAACCAGTTGTTGTTAAGTGCCATCGAGTCATTTCCGACCCATAGCAACTGTGAATAGGGTTTCCAAGGAACAGCTGGTGAGCTTGAATAACCGGCTTTGTCGTTCGAAGCGACTCTGCAGCCAAGTGCGTTAACCCACGGCGCCATGCTAGGACTCCAGGGAGCCTGGTCTGTTTTAGGGTTTTGAGTTTTGTTCCACATTTTCTCCCGCTCTGTCCAGGACTTCCTAACATGCTCCCTTTCAGAGCTATTGGTAGTGGTAACTGGGCACCATCTAGTCCCTCTGGTCTCGGGGCTGTTCATAAACATTTTGAAGCCCGTTTGTTTTGTGAAAGAATGAAAGCAAGGGACCCGCCCATGTCCAGCTGGCCAGGTTCACTTCATGCCGGGTGACCCTGCCCTGGAGTCATCTCATGGGTGTTGTCTCTGCACTTCATTCAGCTCAGAGCCCTTGGATCCCGCCACGGAGCGCTCAGCCTTCACCGAGCGGGATGCTGGGAGCGGATTGGTGACACTCCGGCAGGGGCGGCCAGCCCTGTTGGTCAGCAGTACGAGCTGGACAGGTCTCCAGGAACCCTCCCTAGAGGGCGTGTGTCGACAGGGAGGCGGGTGGTATATTGGGTTGGGGGTGGAGGGGAGTTATGTAGAACAGGCCCCTGACTCTCAGTCCTCTCCTTGCAGAAGACGAGGACTTTTCCATCCTGCTGGAAGCCTTAGAAAGTAGGTGTGTGGCTTTCGCCAGCAGCTGTGGGTGTGCTGAGCTGCTTGCCCGGCCTTGCATGTTGTCCCAGGCAGCTTGTTCTTACCTCAAGGACCCTAGGTGGCCTAAGGCCAGTGTGCGTGGGTGTTGGGGTGGGCAGTTCCAAGTCCCCATCTGGGTTATTGAGTGACTGAGCCCATGTCTGATGCTGGCTCTGGATTATGATCTCCACTGGACCAGATCAGGGGCGACCTGGCCAAGCATAAGGCTCCCTGCCCACTCCCCTTCACTCAGCTGATTAAGGAATCCTGGTCATTCTTAAGGAGTTCTGGTGGCTCTGTGGTTAAAGCACTTGGCAGCTAACCATGAGGTTGGCTGTTCAAAGCCACCAGCCTTTCTGAGGGAGGACGATGAGGCAGTCTGCTCTGTAAAAATCACATCTTTGGAAGCCCTGTGGGGCAGTTCAGTTCGATGGCAAGTGTTTTTCTTTAATTTTCTTTATGTATCGGTTGTTTTTTTAAACAGAGTATGAACAACTGAGTGTTGATGGGGAAAACCTTCCCGCTCTCGTGTGTGTGATAACAGGTACCACCAAGGCCCCTGTTTACATGGGGGGAGGGTGGGAGGCTGGGGAGTGTAAGAGTGACTTCCATGTGCCGGGCCCTCGGGTCCTTGTTGTCCACGCTTTCGGAGATGGGGCTTTCTACACCTGATTCCTAGAGGGTGGGACTCATTCCCAGACCCAGACCTGACTCTGGGGCCCGTGAGTCTCAGCGATGTCACCGCAGCTCACGGACTGCAGCCCCTGGAGGGGAGTCCCCAGCCCGAGTGGCAGGGACAAGGTGGGGCAGTGCATGACCTGTCTCTCTCAAGGCCGAGGGCCGCTGAAGGAACACTACAGCCGACTCATTGGGCACAAGCGTTTCCAGCATGTCCGCGTCTGCACGCCGTGGCTGGAGGCCGAGGACTACCCCATGCTCCTAGGTAAGTGTGCCTAGGCAGGAGCCCCGAGGGAGAAGGCAGAGCTGGTGGCGCTGTGGGATAAGCACTGGAGTGCTAGCCACAAGGTTAACAGTTCAAACCTACCAGCTGCTCTGAGGGAGAAAGGTGATACTTCTTGCTTCCATGAAGGTTTACAGTCTCTGGAACCCTGTAGAGGGCCGCTGTGAGTCAGAATGGAATTTGGTTTGGTTGTAGGGTCAGGCTTTGTCCACCCAGGGGTGGGAACCCCTTGACTAAGCATTTGAGGTCATCTTCTATGTGTTCCTTGGTGTTTTCCCATTCCTGCCTGTTTTCTGTGTCTAGTCTCTTTCCTGTTGCCTGTGTCCAGTCTCCTTCCTGTTGTCTGC